CAGTCATTTTACATACAATCTACATTTACTTTTTACACAAACTGATTATACTCAACAAAAATTTCATCTGATGTCTTTTACTTATTCTCAGTTTTGTGTCACAGAATTTCAATCTTTTTTATCATCAATTTGAAGGCAATATTTTAGAAGACAGTAGTGCCTTTTGTTATTCAAAACTTAATTTGTTTATTAATAAACAAAATAGGATAACTTGCTATTGATACAAAGTGAGGAGGACAAGGTTTATTTAGTTTTAGAATACAAATGAAATACAAAAATATTAATAGATAACTCGTAAGATACTCATAAGTTTTGATTTGGTCTGTCGCTCTACTGTCATTTTTTGAACACTTTAGGCTAATTAGACCGGGACCTACAGTTTAATGTGGATTCTGAACCACTCGCAAACATCTAATTGGGCACTAAGGAGACAGAACATGTTATCATTCATAATTGATTTAAATAAATTTTCTTTCAGTGAAAAGATAATTTTAGATGGTCCTTTATGGTCTAATATTTTTGTTATAGTGAAAATATATAATCTACTAATAAGCAAGGCATTTTAAATAATCAAATTAGAAGTTTAAAACTTTCGAAATTAAATGTCATACTTTTACAGATAGTGTTTATTAATAGAAAAACCTAAGACAAAATTGACAATTTTTTGATGAAAATTCTATATTTTATAAAAATTATCAATTCAAGTACATATTTTAAAATGGGAGGAAGCAAATTTTAAATTGTGGAATTAAAAATACATAGTACATACCTGTTTATTTTTGACTTCCATATGAGAGAATAAAGGATGGGTTGGTTTGTTGCGTCCATCCAATTCTGCTAGAGTGCATTGCATTTTATACCTCGTGGCTTCAAGGTAAGTAAGCATTGCTCTCATCTGAAATGAAAAAGTCAATTAGATAAAATAAATTAGAACGTAAGATAAAATTTATTATATTATATTAGATAAAAATTTATATCTGCATGATAAAAAAATCTAACTCTTAAAAATTTTAAGCATTTTATTACTAGAAATTTCTTTCATGATATTAATAATTTCTTGATTACAGATATTATGCACATTCTATCAAATTCTACAATTGTTTGACACATGTATATTGCTCTACATTATTTTGATTGTGGATAAGACCAAATAATAAATATACTACACAATAAAATAATTAGGCAATGGTATTACTATCAATTTTGTATTTATTATTTAAATGAATATGTGCTAGTTTTATTAATAAAAATCATTATCTAGTCATTGATACACTCTAAAATGCCTTGTAACATAAAATTGTAGTTCTTAGTCTGTATCTAACTTAATTCCTGTGTAATGTAAATTATTAAGAATGCTTGAGTAAAATATTAATTCATTATTAAGACCGCTAATAATTTATCAGAAATATATTTAAAGAATTTGATAAAATTGCAGTTTAAATCACATCCATGTTATGATTTTGAAAATCCTCCGATTCTTTTAGGTTGTATTTCTCAGTATTTCAGTGTATGTAGCTACTAGATTTAGCCTATTATCTCTTTGTATAATTCATTGCCAAGAGTGTGGGTTAAACAACATTCCAAGAAAGAAATATTATATCAATTTTGCAATGCATAAATTATTGTTAATGTGTTTCAGCAGATTGCAAAATGTTTCCAATTTTATGTTATTTTCACAAATTGCAAAACCGTTAATATATCCCAAAGTAGTCTTACATAATTGTAAGATCTTTTTGTTACGTACATATATGTATAGAAAATCGTGATTTCAGTTAAATAAAAATTGAAAATAATTATTATTACTTTGAAATACATTGAAAATGAATTGATTGATTACTGACGTGTTGGAGTTTCTCGAAAACATCTTGCTGGGCGTCAGCATCGCCAAATGTGGGTGTTTCCTGGAAAACCTTCGCCAAGTTCTCGACGCCTTGTTTGCCTTTCCTTTCCAATTCCAAATCGTGTTTTAAAAGCGATAGAAACCTTTGCAGAATTTCTTTCCGCCTCTCTTTTTTCATCTCGTTACTAAGGTTCTCGGCCTATAAGAGAAATCCACAGAGTAATACATAAACTGATTGATTGCATGGAATTAAGAAATAAACTAGCAAAAACACTTAAATTTTTTTCAGTTGATAGAAAAAATAGATGTAATTCGTTTCATTTGGTAGAATAATTAGATTAAATTGATTTTATGATTATCTACAATATTGTGAATCGACCCCACATAATCTGAATCAAATACGAAACATTGGATTGTTCATTTGAAATAAAGTTTTTCGTATTAGCCGACGTTCTATAAAATATATAGCTACCAGTATTTGTGTTATATATCGTTTAGTGTTTATTCTGTGCTCTATCTAATCATATATTTTGTTTGCATAAAGTTTTGGATTTTTTTTTTTACAAAAATCTTAAATAAATAGAAATGTGAAATCCCACCAAATACGGATCATTTTTCTATACGATTTTTTTGTTTTGTTTTGTTCTAATGCAGCTGGCAAGTACTTAGACAATTGTCTTTGATGTCTTAAGGCAAGCGCTGCACCGACGTTACTCACTTAGCACTACCCAGAAGGTGCATGTAGCTTGAAGGTAAGGCTACGGACGCGGAGCAATAATACCCCCCGCAACGCTCTATGATCACGTTAGACCGGGACCTACGGTTTAAAGTGGATTCCGAACCACTACAAACATCCATGGCACCGCCGGGACTCGAACCCGAAACCTGTGGTATCGAGCACCGGCCATTCTTCTATATGAATATAAACTTGAACATTCTGCTTCCCAAGAAACGTGAATGCTGCATTTGGGAATGATAAAGCTAATGTTTCCACGGAGAGACGACGGTTTGAAAAGTTCAAAAGGGAGATATGAGCTTAAAAAATTGAGCCATAATGCAGACATAAAAGCGTTCTCTCTAATCAAGCGCTCACCAGGAAAGGTGATTGGAAGATTTGAGCATCGTTCAGCAAAGTGACTAGATGCAGATGAAAAGCCGAAACGCACACCCAAAACCAGCTTGCATCCAAAGAAGACAATGGTGATAGTTCGGTGGTATCAAAGAGTTGTTATCCATTGCTGCTTTCTAGTTATAGATCAAACAATTAATGTACAGTATTATTGTCAACAATTGATATTGTGCATCAGATCCAGTGTTGGTAAATCTTTTTGAACTAGTTTTGATAAATTTTCGCATTCCAAAAACTAAGCGCGTTGAAATTAGAGATTCTGCCTCATCCCCCCTATTCACCACACTTGTCTTCTATTGACTACAAACATTCTTCTTTAAATATTTGGAATCGATTTTTTTTTAAGAACAAACGTCTTGAAGCTGTGGAAACACCCTTCACTGTTTTTATTGAGTCTTAATCGAAGATGTTCATTGAAACTGGCATAAAAATGCTTTGTAATTGTTGGCAAATATATTTTGAATAAATATATCCAAACAATTTGTGTTTGTGATCTTTTGAAAAATGTGTACATAAAAGTATATTTCATATGGAAGAATCCAATACTATTTCCGAACTCATATAAATTAAAAACAACGATCTTCTTCATTGGCGGAACAGACCCATGGTGGGCCAAGGCCATCCGCCTACTGGCAGATTCCGAAATATATGTTTTCTTTTTACGGGGTAGGGTTGTAAGCCTACAAACAACAATTAGACTGGGGCCTACGGTTTAAAGTGGATTCTGAACCACTACAAACATTTATAACACAACCGGGATTCGAACCCGAAATCTCTGGCACCGAACACTAGCCACTCGGCCATCAGATCCCTGTTTGCACAGTCCCATGGTGGGTCAAAGCTTTCTACCAGATTTTTAAGCATGAGATGTTGTTTTCTTTTTACGGGGTAGGGTTGTCAGTCCTATGCCGAACGATCTACAGTCATATTAGACCAAGACTTAGCTTTAAAGTGGATTCCGAACTACTACAAGCATCTATGGCACCGCTGAGAAAACAATTTACCTACATCATTTCGTGACTGACTGTTTTTGGTATGTATTAAAAAATGTCAAACAGTTTAAAATCTTACATAAAAGTCTGGCAGAATTTGCTCTGGAACGTTAGGACCTGTTCCTTTTGTCTCAATAAGCTTCACAATATCTGCCGACACATCAATAGAACCCACCGTGGTTTTCAGTCTTTCAGAACACTGAAAAAGAAATCAATAGTATCTTCCAAGAGTTGCATTGAACAAGTACTGTTTTATCTACATTGAGATATATACTATGTTATTAAATATGTAAATCAAATTGGTTTATCAAATGTTTAATTTAATAACTGAAAAATAATCACATATTTCCTATAAGATTTTCTTTAGGATTGACACTATTTATTTCAAAATGTAGAACTGGTTTAAAGAACATTAAAATAAAGATTGTAAAAGTCTAAGTATTAAAAAAAAAATAGTTAAGTTTACAAAACGACTATTGCAATACTTAGGGGGAAAAGTTACATTTTCTTTAAATAAATAGCTGCATGGAATTTTTCAACTTTACCATTCATGATGTACAACTGCATTTCCCTCTCCTTTATACAGAAATCCTATTAATTCACATTGAAATAGCTTATGAAATCATCAACAATATGATTATTCAATTAATAGCTTAGCTTATATGAGTAAAAAAATTCCTACCTTAGTAAAATACACTACACATATATGTTTTTATAATGAAATAAAAGTTAATTATTGACCTTACATATTTGTTTTTGTTGTTGTTTCTTATCCCACTTGGCTGGCCAAGCCCACGAGCCCATATGGACTCATGATTAAGGGGAAGGAAGCAGCTTCTGTTGTGATGGAGCACCCGTAGGTAGAAGCCTGACTTTTGCTCCGTGACGCTCTTACAGTCATGGGAGACCGGGACCTACGGCTTAAAGTGGATTCCGAACCACTACAAACATCCATGGCACCGCCGGGATTCGAACCCGAAACCTGTGGCACCGAGCGCCAGAGCGCTAGACACTCGGCCATTCAGGTCCCAAATTCGCCAACGGCACGCGGTGTTCCCAGGTGGTCACCCACCCAAGTACTGACCGCGCCCAATGATGCTTGACTTCGGTGATCTAACGAGAACCGGTATATTCAGCATGGCCGTTGGCGACATATTTTATAAAACAAACTATGATATTTTTGAATTTTTAGAAATGACTTTATATTCATAGCTGATGTATTATTTACTTCTTTGTTACTTTAAAAATTTGGAAATTTATATATATATATTTTTTTTTTTTTTTTGGAAATTTATATTTTTGTGCGTTTTTGTAATCAGTTATACAAGATGAGATTATTGTTTGCATATAGAGATTTTGCAAGGATTTCTGTATGAGATGGACATAAAACTTCACGAACTTGTGTCAGGGCAGGCCCCATTTGGCTATAGTGATTAGTATATTTCTGTACAAAGTCGTGCATGCTGTTCAGTCGTTCCTCTTCCAGCTGCTGGAATGCGAGGTTGGCCCTGTACACAGACGTCTCCCAGTCTTGCCTCGTCCTCTCGGCTTTTATGCAGGTGTTGTAATAATCGATATCGGCTCGAGTCAGCAGTTCTTCCGCTTTGCGCTTCTTAGCCTCCAACTGAAATGAAAAATAACATCAATATTATTGTGCAATAGGTAACAAAGGCATCTTAAATATTTTTTATTCCCAATCATGGTTGGGAGGTAAGAACGCTGGCGGAATCTGTGTCTCAGTATATTCGGAGCAGGCATGACCATTTCCCTAGTTTTATTCTGGGAAGAAGATCCCCGGGAAGGCATTCCTGTCCCTTTCCATCTTATGAGTGTAATGCAAGGATCGCCACACTTCTTTGACTATCAACGTTTTCTAGAATTCCTTGGCTATCCACTTCTCCAAGTGTTTTCTCCTTCAAGAGTTCTTTGGTTATCATTCTCTAAGTGCCCTTTAGCTAACACCTCTTTCAAGAGTTCCTTGGTTATCCCCCTCCAAGCATTCTTTAGCTATCACCCCTTGGTTATCGACTCCTCCCAGTGTTCTTTGGCTATTGATTCCTTCAAGACATCCTTAGTTATCGACTCCGCAAGTTTCCTTTGGCTATCACCCCTTCAAGAGTTCCTTGATTATCGATCCCTTCAAATGTTCCTAGGTTATCCTCCTTCAAGTGTTCTTTGGTTATCCTCCTCCAAGTGTTCTTTGGCTATTGATCCTTTTAAGAGTTCCTTGGTTATCGACTCCTCCAACTGTTCTTCAGCTAACACCCCTTCAAGAGTTCCTTGGTTATCTTCCTCCAAGTGTTCTTTAGCTATCACTCCTTGGTTATCGACTCCTCCAAGTGTTCTTTAGCTATCACCCCTGGTTATCGACTCTTCCAAGTGTTCTTTGGCTATGGATTCCTTCAAGAGTTCCTTAGTTATCGACTCCTCCAAGTATTCTTTGGATATCGTTTCTTCAAGAGTTCCTGGTTATCGACTCTCCAAGTGTTCTTTGGCTATCGTTTCTTCAAGAGTTCCTTAGTTATCGACTCCTCCAAGTGTTCTTTGGATATCGTTTCTTCAAGAGTTCCTTGGTTATCGACTCCTCCAAGTGTTCTTTGGATATCCTCCTTCAAGTGTTCTTTGTTATCCTCCTCCAAGTGTTCTTTGGTTATCCTCCTTCAAGTGTTCTTTGGTTATCCTCCTCCAAGTGTTCTTTGGCTATTGATCCTTCAAGAGTTCCTTGGTTATCGACTCCTCCAAGTGTTCTTTGGATATCGTTTCTTCAAGAGTTCCTTGGTTATCGACTCCTCCAAGTGTTCTTTGGATATCGTTTCTTCAAGAGTTCCTGGTTATCGACTCTTCCAAGTGTTCTTTGGCTATCGTTTCTTCAAGAGTTCCTGGTTATCGACTCCTCCAAGTGTTCTTTGGATATCGTTTCTTCAAGAGTTCCTTGGTTATCGACTCCTCCAAGTGTTCTTTGGATATCGTTTCTTCAAGAGTTCTTGGTTATCGACTCCTCCAAGTGTTCTTTGGATATCGTTTCTTCAAGAGTTCCTTGGCTTTGAATGGACCCCATCTATTCTACTATTACCAATTATAACAGGAAAAGCAAAACAGGAAGATTATGAGAGTTTTTCGAAAGTTTATCTTATATATATGTATACTACAGTATGTATTCTTATATCGGTTTAGCATCAAATCGACAAGATTATATATATGTATGAATCTAAGATTTTTATACGCTTAATAAGTAATTTACTAAAGTTATCAATATATTTTTACTGGAAGTTTTTTTTGGATTCCTTCTATGCGGTGCAGTGACTTCTAAGAGCCCTTTTAAGAAGATAATATCCTCATATCATCACTCATCGGTGGGCTGTTTGTCACATTAATGGAACTCGAGGCGATATGCGAAAAAAAAATTATTCAAGTAGCACATGGTCCCCCCCCCTTATTGAATTTTTCATTTAGGATGTTAATAACTGAACCTGAATAATATAATACTAAACTTATTATTATCTTGACATAATTGGTTAAATAAAAAAAACTGTTTGAATATTTGTTTAAAAAATAAAATAAAATCTTCTTTTAAAAGATTCGAAATGAGATAATTCGAAATATTTTTAAAAAAGCAATGAAAAAAATTGTTCAATAGAAAAGAATGGAGACCAAAAATTATTGGATAAAATTATATTTGTTTTATCTATTAGGACACATTTATACTGAAAATATTTAGTTTTGAAATAATCACAGAAGATATTTACCTAAATATTGAACAAGATATTTTTTGTAGTAATATTTCATTAGAGTAAAAATATATTAAAAATTGTAAATTCCTAAATTTCTATGTCTCTAATTGTATGTGAGTGGTATTTGTGCATGTGTCAATAAAGTTGTGAGTTCTTAAACCTGTGACTCAAGTATCCCAATCCAACCATACAATTAATCAATCCCAATCTGCACACTAGAGTCATGTATTATTTTCAAAATAACTTTTTTCTAAAATGAATTGAAAAGGATTTCAAGTTTATGTTCTTAAATTGATTTTTTATATTTTTTTAAGTGAATTATACAAATAGTAGAGACGATACTCACTTTATGGATGTCTTTCTCTGTGAGAAGTTTGCCCTTGTTGAGCTTGCAGTCAACGGCCTGCTCCTGCATTCTCTCGTTTTCTCGGGCGCAAGCGTAGCTCAGTTTTTTAGCCTTCAGCTCCTCGTTTCTCCTGTCGTTTAAAGTTTTAAAAACTTTGTCAACTGAATTTTCCAGCTGAAATTTAATAGCATAATATTAATTATAACAACAATAGATAACATTAAAAACAATAGAAATCTATAATAGACACATTTTTACTTGAAACGAATTTTAATTGAGTAATAGTTTTAAATTGCAATTATTTGTATACATCATTTAATTAATACATTTGCTGATGTAGGATAATCTTGTAAAACAATTACATATTCTGAAACAATATATATATAGTTTCAAAATATTTAGCGTATTGGCGATCGGTGCCACAGGTTTCGGGTTCGAGTTCCGGTGGTGTCAAGGATGTTTGTAGTGGTTCTGAATCCACCCTAAACCGTAGGTCCCGATCTACTATGACGGTAGAGCGTTGGGCTGATAATACTACCCTGTAAAAAGAAAACATCTCCTGTTTCGGAATCTGCCGGCAATGGTCTAATGGTCAATGGATTGCAGTGCCTGGAAGTTAGCTTCAGAATATTTTATTGGATTCATATAAAATTCAATGAAATTAAAAAAATTTTATGGATATGTATTATTCATATCAATCAGATTTAATGCTGACAAACATGGTATTTTGTTGTAAATTTCCTTTTCAAACTTGGTTTATTATACGCATTTTTTTTCAGTTTTCTCTAATAAATTTGAAAATTCGTAAAAAATTTAATAATTTTTCATTATTTGTAATGGAGTGTTGAAATTGAGAGCCTTCCTTAATTATTATCAAACATTTGAGAAAGATTAATTATGCCTACTTAATATACGATCCTAAAAATAAAAAAGCTTATTAAATTAAGTTGGATTTTGTTACAAAATATTTAGATACAGTTTATACATGATATATGAATCAATTAATTATAAAAAAAGAAATCATCTTCATTATGTTTCCATCACATCGCATAATAATAAACCATCAATTTTAAAATTTTCGATTAAAACTCCTATTTTGATTTGCTCTTTTAAATTAATACATAATTTTATTTTTTAAATGATATCAAACCTTATAAAAGTGCATATTTAGAACGCTGTTAAACAAATGGCTTAGTATTATAAAAAGTGATGACAAATTATGACTTAGTATTATAAAAAGATAGAAATTACTTAAAGTAACAGATAAATTTTATCGACTTAAAAATATTCAACTTTTTTATTTCACATTTTATTTTTCTTCTTCCAGAGTATAAAGTTCAAAGATAAGAAGATAAATATTAATCACAAAGTTAGAGATTACTAAGATATACATAAACATTTAAAATAGTTTAAAAATATCGTAGTAAAAATATTTTTAAGAAATACTATTATAATCATTTTTTTCTTTTTCGAATTTTACTCTAACAGTTCTATTTTATTCACATAACTTCACTTATTTTATGATATGCAACACCAAGATATATTTACTTCTAAATATTTAAAGCAAATATATTTTTTTGAGATAAGATAAAATATAGAAGATTTATAAGATAATTTATGGCAAGTCTTACAATCTTCCTTTGTTTGTGCTGGCACTCCAACAGGACTTTTATTGGCTTCACTACATCTTCTTCTAAACTGCTTGAAAAACATCTGCATAAAATAAATATAAAATAAACCGTATAAATTTTTGTAAACATTTACATAACACAAAAGAAAAAAACATATTAATGCAATAGTTCTGAAATTTTTATCGTTTGAATCCTTTTAGAACGAATAATAGAACGTTTATCAGAACGAATAAAATTTTTTAATAAATTTATTTACCAACAGTCGTCAATAATTTTCTTTCTTTTGATAACAAAATTGATTTAATAAGAAGAATCAATTAATCTCAAAAAATAATTACCAATAACAATCAAATTGTTATTTAACTAATTTGCAAAATTAATTTAATAATTTTTTAATAAACTACAATAAGAAGTATGTCGATAACATTTAAA